TGATTTCTAGTTTTGTTTTTGAGTGGCTCCCTTTGCCTAAAATAATGGCTGTTATAGTTGTATTTATTGTTCGAATTAGGACTTATGATGGCATGACCAAGTATCTGCGATGGTATGTCTGCATGAATTTACAAAACTATATGTTATTTGTTTTGGTATTACCATAATTATGTGACTTGAAATATGGTTCTCCTTGGGTTACTATACTTAGGAGTGAAGCTATGAAAAAAATTAAGGATATTGGTTGGGATTCTTCTTCCCATTGTTCGGGCCTTGTCAAGAATTAGTATATATGGTTTTGAAGCAATAATGATATGATTTTGATATGTTTTCGGAAATGGAGAACACTAAGAACAGTTGTGAAGCTAGTGACTACATGCTTACGCGACTTATTTATGCCTGTTGGAATGATGTACACCTTGTTAAATGGGCAAAACCCTGTAGGTGGGCTCTGATAACCAATTTCATTATGCATTATACGATTTGAATTTAACTACAAGATTGATTTCTGTGGCGATGATATACAGCTTTGGTTACTAACTTAGCTCTAAGTGACTTATAATATGGGATTTACCAAGTAATGAAATTTGTATATGAACTATTAATACCGGTTCAATCTGGGTATGAACATAGTAAAGAATATATTGCGATTGGAATTAACGTATGCTGTGGAATATATGAATTCTGTGCCTAAAGAAACGGAATCTACTATATTTCTGTATTTAAGAATTGTATGTTCTGTATTTGGGAATTAACACTGTAGAACTTATTGATAGGGAAAATGTTGTGATTATAGACCCTGCCTACTGAGGATTTTATGCCTTAAATACCCTGCAATAGACTCTTATAGTTGTATTTTATACAACATGTGATTCTATGAAATAAAAGTGTAAAGTTTGCCTATATGTTGATAGCTTCGCATAATTGTGAGGAATATCGGATTAACCTGTGAATTGTTCGAATTGAGAAGTTACGTGCACATCTATAACAGAATGAGACAATGGTGTGAGATTGAGATTTCTAATCTGTTACATGGTAAAGCAAGTTTGAGGGACCAAACTCATTTAAGGGGGAGAGAGTGTAATAACCCGACCCTCACACATGTTCTTGGTATATTTTTTTTAGTCCCTTATTCTGTGCATTTAAATCCTTAATGAAATATTCCACGAGAAATTAAGTTTAAGCACATGTATCTTATGAATTGAACCTATATCTGTTTGGTAAGGAAAATATCTGTCACAATTGGAATGTTTAAATCAGAAATTGAGGGCCTTAAAGGCTTGGTAATCCGAAACTGATTTTATATTTGGAATCAGTATAATTTTTAAGTAATAATAAGCATGTTGATAGAAATTTGATTTGGGATGATTAAACTGGTTGATTTTTGTTTTACTCACCTTACATATATATATATAGTTATGCCCAACATTGACTTAGAAGCTTCAATTGAAAAATAGCTCCTAAGAGAAAGATTAGGGGAGAGAAGAGTTGAAAGGTAGTAGGAGAAGAGCATCAAGAAGGTTGGGAAAGCTTAAGGTATGTAAATGTTTATCTTAATTAACTCCTACAACTCTTCTTTTCCTAATTTGTGTGAGATATCCTCATAATCATGTCACTTAAGGGTTGGAATTGTGGTTCTGTGTGTGTGTAAGAAGTGAATTGGCAAGATACCCTTACTTTTGAATGTTTTGACTCAATTTGAAGTATCTATGAGAAGCTACCCTCTATTCCTTCAATTGACTTGCTTGAATTCAATTATGTGGCATGGCTTTGTGTATATGTGTCTATATGTGTGAGTAAAGTTAGAAATCTCATGAGATTGAGTGTGTTTATGAACTTAAGATTAATGATCTAACTTATACTCAATTGATGTATGTGTTGTGATTCTTATTCACATGAGTTGGGACCATATACTAGCAACTTATGGACAAGTTATAGAGTTCTAAAAATACCTACAAAAAATGGAACCTTGTTGAATTTCGGATTGTGTAGATTGAGCAGATCGTCGCACGTGCGAGAGTCATGGCCACACGTGCGAGAACCCCAGCCGCACGTGCGGGAACCCCAGCCGCACGTGCGGGAAATGAGGAATTTTGAGGTTTTGGCTACTGTCTAAAAGGCACGTGCGGGGCTCACAGCCGCACGTGCGGCCCATGCTGAAAAATACAGGTTACTCCGTTTTACGTGCTTGACCCTCTAATATTGCTAAAATCTGTATTTGATGTTTTTAAGATATCTGTAAATTCATGCGAAGTGAAATGAGTTAGAAAATGAATTAAGAAGGAAAAAGAATTAATGTATAAGTTGTGCCTGTGTGTAGGTCATAACTCGGGAGGAGCAAGCACTTCGCTACAGCACTGTGAGTAATAGTACTATCGTAGTATGCGTTACTTACAGCTACCAATTGCCATTAGCACTCTGTTAATTGCAGGTTAATTATGTTAACGTATATGAACGATTAAACAAAGGTGTATACCTCTGTATGACTCTGATTAATAGTTGATGTTAACATTCTATTCTCTGTAAGTAAATTACGTCGTTTCTTAATGAATAAAGAGAACTTATGTTCATTCTAGAATAACAGTTTTAGAGTAACTATAAAAGCATACCGTTTTGCTACTAATAGGCCTGAAGCCGTTCAGTTATAAATCATCGAGTATGGATATTTCTGAAGGATCAAAATAATTGGACAAGCTATGTGCATCCGTATGAATTCGAAATAGTTCTGTTGTGTTACATATGGACCCGAGGTCATTCAAAACCTACGATATGAATGCAAAGGTTTAACATTATTATGTGCTCTCTGTAATAGTTATTATTCTTATTCTGTTATACGCGAGATAACTGTGTTAATCGGTAACTAAGTTATGAGAAATTTATGTGCACTATCCCATAATGGTACTCTTAAAGAACTGAGGTTATTCTGCTTCTGTTTATTCGTTCCGGTTATGCTATGTTATGACATAATATGCATTGTTCGGTTTTTATGACCTAATAATTTCTGGTATGGAACAAAGTGCTGCATGGAACTAAGTGCTGCAATGCGAGTCACCTCTAGAATCCGTGCGAGACACTTCTTGAGTCCATACATACATGAACTGGGCTTAAAGCCAATTTGGGCCTATGGTCATTCTGTATGATCTGTTAGGCCAGAGGTCATTCTGTGTGATCTGTTAGGCCTATGGCCAATCTGTATTTTCTGGTATGAAACAAAGTGTTGTACGGAACTAGGTGCTACAATGTGAGTCACCTCTAGAATCCGTGTGAGACACCTCTTGAGTTCATACATGTCTGATAAGGGCTTAATGCCATTCTGATAAGGGCTTAATGTCGTTCTGTTTAAGAGCCAATTTGTGAAGCTATGAATCCATGAGGCCAAGGGCCAATTTGTGAAGCTATGAATCTATGAGGCCGAGGGCCAATTTGTGAATGTGTGAATCCACCAGGCCAAGGGCCAATCTGTGACGTTGTGAACCGATGAGGCCATTCTGAATATTAGTACAGAATCAGATTAACTACCTGTCTTTTACATTATATACACTTTGCTCTGCATTATAATTCGAATTGAACATTGAGTTATTAAGTACTATTATTCACTGAGATTGTCTCACTCTGTATTTTGTCTGATTCTGTAGGTAATAAGTCTGGAGGTCAGCCATAACCCTCGATGCTCGTCTCCCTTTGTCAGCCTCTGTGTGTCCAAGCATTTGGGTGAAGCCTACCCGTTTTGTGAAGTTTTGTTAAGTTTTGGCTTATTGTAGACGCGCCCGCGTGGGCCTCATGCTACAGTTCGGACTCGATTTGTGTCACGGTTCTAAATCTGAACCAAAGAGTCAAAATCTGGCAAATACGCCCAAACAAGGGGCGGGGTTGTATATGTGTATGTAAATATTTATCATCTGATTCACTGTTTGTGATCCTGGCATGATAGTGGTCGCTCAATGGATGTAGTTTCTTTTTATTTCATGTTATTTTATAATATTTAATGCTTCCGTTCAGGCCCCATATGTATGTATACCGAATTTTATGTCCGTTTCTGAAGTGATCATGCCCAAACTTTTAGGGGCGAGTTTAGGGCGTGACAAGAACACTATGGATGCATGGTTGATCACATCCACAATCTGTTAAGATATATGAGCTTTGAGATGAAGTTTCATCTAGACTGAAGCTTATTGGAAATACCACTGATTTTGATTCTATGATTGAAGAATCGTGTATAATGGAGCAAGTCTGCTAATTTCCTATGTCAGCAAATTTTGTGAAGTCCACATTCATCAAACAGTACTTATCTATTGCCAACTCTTGCCAGGTGTAGGAATTCAGTGAATTTGATAGTAGGATGGATGTTTATTTAACATGATCGGTAACCTTTATGTATACAATTTTTGGTTTGTGTTTAAACAAAAACTTGTTTAGTGCTTATTTTTGTTTTTTGAAAAATTATAAATTGCATACAAATTTACTAAATTTTTGTAACAAAAATGGTTTGTTTCATTTGTTTAAGAACCACTCCAACCACACCCGTGGCCCACCACCACCACCACCACCAGCAGCCACCTTCGTCAGCGACCTCCTCCAACCATCACCTTCCACAATTGACAACCACTTTAATTGTTGGTGACCACCTCCAACGATCACCTCTCACCACCTACAACCATCAACCAATTCCTCCCGCTGAAAACCACCTATGGCAACCACCTCCAAACAGCCAACCACCACCTCCGGCCACATCTTCAGTAATCAACAACCATCTCCAGCCAACCCCTCACTTATTTTAAAAACGCATGTGTACCATCTATGCTTTTTTTCTTTCAAATAAACATAAAAATGTTTATTATTTTCTACAAAAAATTAAAAAGCTAAAAAATAAATAAATAAAAATTGTAAACTGAATGTTACCAAATGGCGCCTGAGTATTTGCAATAAGATTAGAACCCATCCCATGAACTGAGTTTAGAGAAAGAAAATAACAGAATCTGGTAATGTAGCCCCCGCTGAGGTACACAGTTGAACAATATTTTAAATTCCCATTTTCATTTAAGCTAATCTTTGTGAACGACTTACCCAAAAAAATCTTTGTGAACGGATTGGCATATCTTTCTTATATGGAACATGGTACTGTTAAATAGAAAAAACAAACACTGTCTAATGATATTCTTAACACATCCACAACATCGTTGCCTCTAATCCCTCTCCTCCAGTGTGAAACTTGCTTTTGTGCCAAAATGTAAACCGAAGGGCATTTTATGCCTTCTTCACCTTGGTTCTCCATCTCTTCCTCCTCCTCCTCCTCCTCCTCCTCCCCACAAATTTGAGCTATTCATCGATCAAAATCACAGGTGCCGAAACCAAGAAAACCAGAAACCATTCATTTAGAGTCAATGGAACGATACCAAACACATCAGCTAGGAAAGGTACATGAAGTATTAGGCAATGGAGCCCAAACATGACTGACATGGCGACAAGAAGCCAAGGGTTCATACAAGGTGGCATTGTGACAAGGCTATTGTCTTCAGAAAGGGCGTTTAGGGAATTGAACATCTCAATGGCCGCCAAGACAGAAAGTGAGAGAGTCATCGCCTTCACTTTACCAATGGTAAAATAGTCACAAGGGTTTGAAAAGGTGATCACGCGGCCTCCACCAACTGTGAATGGAGTCACGATGAAATTTGACCACCATGATGAGCATTCTCCCCAGTTCCAAAGCTGAGAAAATTCAACGCGTGAGTGACCGTCACTTACAAGATTTATAACCAGAACCGGAGCCTAAGTGTACCACAAGATGAAGATGCCAACCGTTGCAATGCCCACATAAGAACCTATTACCTGCAATTCCATGCACTTAAGGTACTGAGAGTCTGATACAATGAATATTACATGAAAACTTGTTCACTCAACATGTAATGCACAATCCTAATGCAAAAGAATAGTGATTCAATGAGTAAAGTGGCAAAGTTTGTTGCAAAGTTGATATCCAATAAAGTATTTTACTGAGGAAATCCTCATCTTTAACTATAAAATAATACATTATATTTTACTCTAAAAACAATACCTTCTGAAAATTTCTACATGTTATCGAATCTTGTCCTAGGTATATCACAAGAAAATAAACAATCTATAATAAAATACTCATCTTAACTTTCTAGATGATATAGCAATAGGAAAAAAGCTTATGTACAGTTCCGTCCATGTAAGAGGTGCAAGTGACCAATTGGAGTAAACTATGTGGTCATCTTGCCCAATCATACTTTAGTGTTGGGTCCCACAACAATGTAGGGTTATAAAATTTTCCTAATTGGAGAACATTACTCCTATTGTGGCCACTAGCACCACCTGCATGCATGAAACTTCCTAATTTTTTTTCCATGGCAATAATAATAACTTGCAAGACCATCAATACTGTTGACAATGAAAACAGTAACTCATCTTTAGCAAGTTAAAAGATGAGAAACTAAAAATGTGTGCCGGCACAACAACCTTTGACATGTAAAATCAAAATAAAAAATAATAGTAATGAACACTAACCATGTACCGGAACAGAATCCAGGAGTTAATGAGCGCATCATCACTTTTGCATGGTGGTTTCCGCATTATATCTATGTCAGCAGGGTTGAATCCCGGAGCTGTGGCAGGTGGGCCATCAGTAACCAAATTGACCAAAAGAAGCTGCACCGGTATCATACATTCTGGAATTCCTTAAGCAGCAGTCAAGAATATGGATATAACCTCCCCAACATTAGACGATATCATGTACCTGCAGATAGAGAAAAATAACTAAGCTTTGACGTTAACTACCCAAAACAAAAATGAAAGCTCACAAAGTGAAAATATACCTGATAAAAGCTTTCGTGTTATTATAAATAGAGCAACCCTCTGCCACAGCAGAGACAATGGGGTTAAAACTATCATCTGCCAAAACCATATCTGAACCTTCTTTTGCAGCCTGGATGATTCACATAAGAATGTATTCAACAATGTCAACCATCCAAGGACAATGTAATATGCTTACTAAGCCACATAATTTATTTTGGACTCGGGTATGAGTATCAAGTGAGAAAGTGTATTTCTAGCTATCAGACCTTGCTAAACCTAAGTTAAGATATGGGGGACATGTATCCAAAAGTTGAGTATCTGCACGTAGACATGTTATAAACATTTAAATATATTGTATATCTATCATATTTTGTTATAAGATGATGTTATAATTTATTTATACTAGAAATTAAATGGGATTTAGGGAAACAATAAAGATTTTTATCCCCATCCACGCGAGAGGCTGAAAATTTTTCTTTCCTATCAAACATAAGCTGTTGTTTCTTCAATCAAAGAGAGTCGGTGTTACCTCTGTGCCAGTGATCCGCATGGCAATTCCAATATCAGCAAGTTTCAGTGCAGGTGCATCATTCACACCATCACCAGTCATTGCAACAATTTCTCCCGTCTCCTTTAGCATCCTTACAATTTCTTGCTTGTGCCTAGGCTCCGCACGTGAGAACACTTTACCTCCAGGTTAAGACAAAATTTCAATTTGCTCAGAAGAGGAAAGAGCCATGAATTCTTTATCCGTGAAGCTTCCCCTAAGATCATCACTTTCACAAAACAATCAAATTTCCTTACAAATAGCCTCTGCAGTCAACTTATTATCGCCAGTTATCACCGTGACTTTAATCCCAGCTCCTCTACAAAACAATCTTCCATTGATTGGGGGAGAGGGTACAAGTTGTTCACGTAGCACAGCGTCAACGCTGTGGTCGGTAGATGGCAGGCCCATGTGGCTCCAGGAATGAATGAGGTGTACTGAACTATGTAATTTGTGTAGGTTTAGAAGGTCACCTTCAGCCATATGGTGCGTTGGGACACGAAATTGCTTTGCCTCTTTTATATGGTTCTAGATTTCCATATGACCTGTATTCTACAGATCCATCTATCATGACAAATACTCACATAAATTACTAGATTCAAACATGAAAATAGCTAATGAGGTGACAATAAGTGAAACATATACAGGTCAAAAGATGGCTTTAATTTGACAAAATGGGTGTTTAAATACAAGTGAACCAATCAGACTAACACTCAAGATCAATTTATGAGCTGTATCTGTTCCTGTTCATACCAATAATAAACCAAACATGGACTATAAGCCATGAACAAGAGAATAGAGAAAAGTGGGTGGGAGGGTGGTTGAAGAATTTTAACATTTTGAGAGACCTCACAGTTGAAGTCAGTTTCGAGCGTCAAGAATTTTAGATTTGCTCTGACTATGCTTCTCTTTGCATGTATGCAAGTATCAAGAATAGTTCTTTCTCTTCTTTTTAGAAGAGCCTTCTTCATCAGAACTGTCCATGCATCCATAGTCACAGACATAAAAATAGCAGTGTCCATCTTGTCTCCAGAAAGAGAAGTTGATCAGTGGGAGATCCATTAAACCCCGAAAGTTTGTACATCCAAGATTTCGCCTGAGATATGAAAATTCAAATCTCTAAACATATTCCCAAGTTGCTCTTTAAGCAGCCCTCTGTTCCAACAGCTCAGTCACCAATCCGTACCATGCTCTCATGAATCCTATAACTTTCTCAAGAAATTTCTATTTGCTGCCATTGTTCTTTAGATGCTCATAAATATAACTCATTGGTCATAGGCAGCTAAAACCAATATCCCAAGGATATATCACAGATTTCCAGGTTCAGAATCCAGATTGACGCAGAAGAGAAAGTTCTTGAATCTTTATTCTATGATCACGACAAGCTTCAATTCACACTTTTCAATTATCAATTTGATTAGTATAGTAACACACTATGATCTCAATTAAATGATTTCTATGAAGCAGCCTCTAACAATATTTTATCGAGCACGCTTCCTCTACTGTCTAGGTTTCTAGCAACCTTGCCTATAAAAACTCCCCAAGAATCAGTATCAATTTCAACACTTGAAGCAGCCATGGAAAGCACCTTGGTAACATATGATTCCATACCCGAGTCACAGAGGCCTTCAATCAAAATAGAGTAAGTCGACTTGTTTGGCAAACACCCCTTTTCCAACATCTCCTCTAAAACTCTAATTCCCTCCCTCGGATTACCAACTTTACAAAATCCCTTAATCAACATGTTATACGTAAAAGCATTGGGCACACATCCCTTCTCCACCATGTCATCCCACAACCTCCCCGCCTCGTGCAACTCTCCTCTCTCACACATTCCCGCAATAAGCATGTTGTAAGTCAATACACTAGGAATCGAATCCCTCTCAAACTCGCCAAATAACTTCCTCGCTTCCCAAATTTTCCCCTCCTTACAAAGCCAATGTATAAGAGTGCTTGATATGGCATTATCAGGCGTGCAATTGTTCTTCAAGAGCTTCTTCCACAAATCACATGCATTTTCAACCTTCCCTTCTTCACACAGAGCATCAATCACCCTACAACAAAGTGCTGAGCTCGGTACATATTTCTTCTTTAGCATATCATCGAGCAAATTGAGCGCTTCCCCGGGTTTCTTTTCTTTACAATAAGCTTCGATCATGACCCCGTAAGTCACGTCATTCGGTTCAACACCATTCTCCTCCATATCATCCATAACCTTCACCGCATCAATCAACCGTCCCTGCTTACAAAACCCATCCATCAAAATCGTATACGTCGTGGCATCAGGAACCCAACCTCTGTCAAGAATTTCATCGAACACCTTCTTGGCACTAACCATATCGACCCTCGACACATACCCACCTAATACAGTCGTGTAAGTCACAACATTCGGTACCATTCCCATGCTGGGCATTTCATCCAAAACCCTAATCGCACTCTCAACCTCATTGTTCTTACACAAACCCTTTATCAGAATGTTACAAGTAAACACATTGGGTATAATACCAAACTTTTTACGACAATTCTTAAACAAAGCATGAACCAACTGGTACTGGTGATTCTGAATCAAAGCATTCAAGAGGGTATTGAGCGATCTTACAGAGGGTTGGACGCCGAAATCTTTTATTCGCAAGAAGGTGAAAAGGGCTTGTTTGGATCGGCTAGCGATGCCGTAGTTTCGAATGACGGTGATGAAGAGGCTTTCGCTGCATTTGATTTGGGATTTGTGAAGTTGATCGAGAAGGGTTTCCATGGGAGAGAAAGCGCGAGCCCGAGCGAGCTTGAGGACGATGGACTGGAAGGTGTCGTAGGTGTGGTGGAAGTTGGGGTGGTAGTTGGAGGCGTGGTGAAAAATTTGGAGGGAGAGATCGAGGTTTTGTTGGCGGGAGATGATGGAGATGAGGCGTTTGGGGGAGAGGTGTTTGGGCCAGGGTTTGATTGGTGGTGTGACTCTGTAGGATTTGAGGAGGTGGGTTTTGGATTTCACGGCGGAGAGGTGGTGGTGGGATGGGTGGGCGAGGAAGGGGTCGGCGGCGGAGGAGAGAGATCGAGCGGCGATAGAGATGGTTTTGATGCGGTGGTGGTGACGATGGGATCGGAAGAGAGTTGCCATGTTTTTTGGTATTTCAGATGCACGGTGACTGTAGGATTTGTCCAGCATTTTACTCACTATGATTTGGTGTTTTTCAGTCATTCCGTGGAATAATTTCGATTTTATATTTCAGTCATTCCGTGGAATAATTTCGATTTTATATTTTGTCCTCTGTCCAGCGTTACTGACTATAAATTAGTTTAATAAAAATAAATATTAAAAAAAAAATTAATTATTTTTATAGAATAGTTTCTGAGATTAAAAAATACAAAAACTTGTTTGGTTTGTTTTTTAAAAATATTCTCTCTAAAATAACTTTGGTTTTTTTTGTAAAATAATTTTTGAGATAAAAAGTATAAAAACTTATTTGATTTGTCTTTTTTTAAATATTCTCTCTAAATAACTTTGGCTTTTTTGTAGAGTAGTTTTGAGATAAAAAAAAGTACAAGAATTTGGTTTGCCTTTTGGTAGAGTAGTTTTTGAGATAAAAAGTATAAAAATTTATTTGATTTGCCTTTTTATAGTGTAACTTTTGAGATAAAAGTACAAAAACTTGTTTGATTACTTTTTTTGCAAACATGTTTTAAAAGTAATTTTAGAAATTGGATAACCAAACACATTTCTGAGAGTTTTTTTAAGAAAATCTATTTAGTTTGATTACTTTTAAAAAAATATTTGTGGAGTATATTTCTAAAAAATTTCTCTCAAAATCAAACTAAACAAGGCCATGGACTCTTATTTCAGATAAAGCCCAAGCATTTGGCCCGCCCTGCTTGGCATATTAGCAGTAGAGGCCCAACAACAGACAACAAAAAGGCTCACCGAACCATATATTAAATTTTGGCCCAAAATTCAGCACTGGCAGGTATTTGGTGAAAAATTATGGCACTTACATACAGACTGGATTTAATACTTATCTAGTCTTGCTCCAAATTGATATTCTTATGTTTTTTATTTTGTCTTCACAATTTATCTTGTAGGAAAAATAAGAAATAATGGCACTGTTTGGCAACCCCAGGTTGAGGCTAAAATAATCTTAAAAATTAAAAAAGTCAAATAGCCTCAAATAGTACCTAAACCAATAATTTATATTTAAAAAAAAAAAAAAGCAAAAGAAAAGTAGCTGGGCAATGGCAGCCTACACAGTTAATGTGACAGTGTAGGTGCCGTGCAGTGACAGCTAGTCCCACAACTGGTAAATTATAATTTTGTCTCTTTAGATTAATTTTGAAAAATGTGAGGTTAGGAACAAATTTTTCATTTTAACTTCAAACATTATTTCAATACAACAACTTAAATAAAATCCATCCCATCTTCCCAAACACAAAAACTAAAATAGTCTACTAAAATAACCAAAAATCCTCTAAAATAGTCACTTCCCAAACACCCACAATATATAGTGGAAATAAACAGATTCGAGCATACCGTTTACACTCAAACCAAATACATGAATCATGTGGATAAATCACGTGCCTCCATTGATGTCTTCGACTAATTCCCAACAGTGAAATATAATTACTAGAGAACTACCTACACTCTTCACAGTATAAAGGCTATTATGTGTTTCTATAGAGAGAAAAAAAAATAAAGAAGACTACAAGAGCCTAATTAGATACAGTTAAAATTAACTCTCACCATATAATACGTGTATTATATTGGAGTATTATAACCACCCACAACTCTATCTCCTTAATAGATAGATAGTGAGTTAATCACACTTATCTCCAATATAAGTTAATCTAAGTTTACTTTGATTGGATCGCTCCTTATGGGTCTTGAGTCATGCCACCATAGGCGACTCAATCGAATATGGATTCTAAACCCGACCCAATTTTCAATATCTCCCACTCGAACATGCATTGGCATGACACCGTGCTTTCTTTATCTCAATCTATCCATCAAACATGATCATACTAGCCATTGGACCGTGCAACCGCTGAAAACATTTGCGTGTGGGAGCTCTATACAAGAAACTCAAAAAAAACCAACATAGAGACATTAACCCGAAAATAAAAATAGTGTCCCATATAACCCATACTCATCTAATTACATCAGTCTAAAAAACATCTCTAATCCCTCAAAAGAGCATGTTTGATCCTCTCAATTCATGCAATATATTCACACACAATCTGTCTCTCATACATAGCAATGTGAGTTGCCCGTAGTGAATATAATAGTGGTGCAATACAAGATGATCTTCTTTTCGCCTTCATGCCATTTAGTTTAAGATTGACTGCTTTCCAAGTGATGTCCTTTAAAGCTGAATCATACATGATTGCAGGCAACATACCAAAGTAGTAGAACATCAATCCCATACCTTATGACATAGTCAAAGGTCACAAAAGGATATATAAGTGAAAGTCATATCAATAATGACACGTAAGACTCACACGATGAGGAAACATAGACCCATTCTCGCACCCCATCACTCGGTCGCCAAGAACATGTAGTATGAATATATGCTACAGTAGAGTAACTCTTCCAAAGAGTGACGTCATACTAGATACATCGTACAGATCTTAGTCTAGTCGCTTTCTAGCGCCTAACCCGAATTCTCTATTTGCTCGTCTTCCAGGCACCAAATGAGATCTTATATTTGGCTAATCATAACAGGCACACCATGAAAAGTAGGTACTAACATCCATGTTTGGTCTTTAACATGACCACATCTTGGTTGCAACCAAGGCAACATATATAGTGGATAATTTAAGCCTCTGTTGGCTCTAAATAACATAAACCACTAGTCTCATCTTTACTCGCTCCCAAGCACCATAGGCGATTGCTCGTGTAAGTGGGTCAATCTTACTTGCTGACATCATCATCTGCTAATTATTGTGACACAAACCATATCTTATAATCTTACAAAATTAAGTGATCGATTAAAAAAAATACAACCACAGTTTGCACAATTCTATATTCCAAATATAAGTCCTATCAGCACCTCTTGCGATAAGCATATATAAAGGAATCCACCATGTACGCCTCACATGAAGTGGTTCAAGACAACTACATCTTGCATAATTACCTCTCTAAAGATATTTTGGTAACCAATATGCATTTATTCAAGATGCGCCCAACAAGCGCATTGAATCTTACAAGGGGCAAATTTATACAATACCAATAGAGTATCCTATCCATAATCTAATAAGCAAGGTTAAGGTCTAAACTACTCAGTTGACCATTTACAAAAGATAACACTCATCATGCAGAATATGCCCACACAATGTACTTTAGGCTCCCACAACAAAAAATCAAGGAATATAGATCATTTGTCTATCCTAGAGACAATCTGAGGATTCACTCAATAGCTGAGACTCTAACTTTTACCGATAGGTAAGTCAATGAGTTTATAATTTCACATCTAGAATCATTCTAAGATATTCCTTATGTAAGTCATCAAAGACAAACCGAGAATTTTTCCAGAACAATCCCTAAGGATTATACATTTGAGCATATAAATTATATCACCCATGTCCATCATGTCTAAAATAGAGGACTGCCAACCCTAGGTGGCAACAACCTTATAAATTCTCGGCTCATAATGACTAAGGCCTTGTTTGTCAATTATACATTTTAGCCAAAAAGTTACTATAAGTTGTTACATCACTGTATCTACTTTTTTGCACATCTTTTGGTAAAAAGTCAAAAAGTTACTAAAATAACATGTTCCCAAACAAGGCCTAAGTAAGGAAAAACTTCCTTTGGACCATTGATCATGCCTTAGTGGTCTTCATTGATCATCGTTGGCCCATCATAGCTCAATGAAATCTAAGAATCACTATTTGGATAATTGTTTTAAGCCATAAAAGATTTCTTAGAAATAGCAATCTTTTGGCTCCTATCTTTTCGTCATAAAAGTATAAGATAAATCTTTGCGGATCTACTTATCCAATTCTCCAACGAGAAGTTGGGTCACAATGTCCACAAAGTGAAGTTCTGAACTCATGTCAATCATAGCCTAAGTCAAAGTAAGTCTCACTAGTGAGCCTTACGCCTAAAAAATGACTATCCAAATCGCGCATAACTTTAGAACATTTTTGTGTCATAGCAGAAAGTCAACCAAATCCTAGAAATGATTAATCCTCAAAGGCTTTGTCTTAAAATGCACAACACTAATCCACTTTCTAAAAGTAGGGGACTAAAGAACCTTTGGCATTATCCTAGGTTTTTTACCATCTTATGAAGCAATCATGAATGTTCCCTCTCAATCACCTAGTGATGACGTGAAAATTTTTCACATTTGCTCCCACGCAACTAAGAATGTAGAGTATTATTCTCTAATGGAGTAATCCACTAGTAGACACGTTACTCCTGTTGTCCCTAGGATATTGGAAATTTCTTTCCATTCTCAGTTAGGCTACATAAAGTGCCATACTTAGAATTCTCTATCTTATAGAGTTCTAAAACTTTATTTATGTCACATTTACTAAAAAAACTTTATGTGACTCAGTTACACTCCCACAAAGCTACTCACTTATAAGCACATAACCTGGAGGGTTTATATGACAGCATAAAATAATGTGCCACATGACCCTAAGCGTTTACAAAACATCATACAATAGTGCGCCATAGAACTCCAGGTCTTAACTTCGTAACCTTATGAGAAGTAAAATAAAGATAAGTTGCTTTATGGTTATAAATTGCCCACAAATGGCTCTCCGCTAACCCATTACTCAAATGAAGTATAAAATATGATATGGAGGGCACTTAGTTAAGGACATAGGCAACAAACTAAAGTGAAATTCCCAATTGGGAAATATATTGCGCCATTATCCACCTAACATAAACAATACTTAACTCTTTATCTCTACTACACCATTGTGTTGGTGAGTACTAGGAATAATCAATTTTCTAAGCATCCATTTCTCTTCACAGAACTTTTTGAAAAAGATAACTCAAATAGATACTCGTCACCTCAGCCAAAACTAAAAGCACGAAAGCTCTTATTTAATTGATCTCAACTTTATATGTGCAATGTTGAAAATCATCTCAAAATTTTTGACTTATGGGAGATCAAATAGTCTTGACTAATGCATATCATACTCTATAAATGTGTCGAGATTGGGGTTAGCTATCATACCCTTACACATATCTAGTCACAAATATCATAGTGAACTAAATGTGCCA